GCGCTCTGGCCGGGCCGGGCCCGGGCTGTAGGTGTGCGGGGCTGGCGATGTCTCCGCTTGGTTTGGGTTTCTGGCCTGAGCCGGTATCCGCCAGCAGTGGTGGATGCTGAGGTTTTTTAAGCCTGTTAAGTGTGTGGAGTTGATTTGGGCCGTGAAATAGACTGGGTTTCCATGCTCAGACAGCATTTCTCCCTATGCCTCCACTAACCAGCTCAAAAAGAGATGGAGCACGAGACTCTTCTGTAGGTAACTTTTCAGCAGTAAAATTCCCCTTGCAATGGAAGAAGCTGAATCCCTTTGAAGGTTTTTTTGCGGTTTAGAGACGCTGATGACAGAGCCCCTCTTCTCTTGCTGGAGAAAGTCTCCTACTTGCCAGAAGTGTTTTGTTTTTTTTCCCTGACCTGCCCATCTCTCAAATGAAGAATGAGATTTGACTGTGTTTAGGCTAATGTAACCTGCAGCACTAGGCTGAAGGCTGTGTAAATGCCTTCTGGTGACAGCCTGAGCAGGGTGAGTGGCTTTGGTGGCTCTGTCCAGCTGTTTGACAGATGTGCACACACCTGCTGGGCATGTTGGAATTCTGTGAAGTGGTGCTGTTTTGGAAAGCCACATCTGGAGTGAAATAAAAAGGTGAAAAAAGAAAACGGTGCGTCTTCAAACTTTGAGTGGTTAAAAAAATAGTTATATCCTTGCAGGACCCCTCTTAGAAGGGGTGGAGAGGATTTCTGTCTGTTAGCTATGAAGGCAAGTGTTCTGGTGAGACAAGGAAACAGTAGCTGCCTCTGGATTTTCACTGTGTGCAATCTTAATGAACTGTAGGACTGTTGGTACTCTGCTTTAAGAATTCAAAACGTACAGTCTGGACAGACCTTTCTGAGGCAGAGCTTTCTTATGTAATCAAATCATCAGCTGACAAATGCTATTGAGATCTGGCTATTGCTGGGCGAGTTCCTCCTGCTGAACTGACGGGAGCATCCCTGCCTTGAGCCCTGTTCACTGTGTGCCTGCCTAATCCTGCAGCTCTTGGAGGAGCTCCCTTGGCACTGCTGGCTTGGGTAGGTCACTGCTGAACCTGTTCTTGAGGGGAAGGGCTATGTGCTCCTGCCCTCTCCTCCATCCTGGCTGCTGGGAGACTTAAAGCATCTTAACCTTGCCAGGAGCTGCCTCTTGAAATAAGCCATTTGCTCTCTGCAGGGTCTGCTCCAAGAGGAGCTCCCTCCTTTTCCTGTGCTGTCCTTAAGTTTTCTGCTGAGGCATTTATGTCAGAGTGGCTCTAGCTGTCCTGATTATCCTGTGTGATGGGTTACTGGCTTGAGGGCATGTTGAAACTTCCCAGCTGAACTGCAGACAAATAGGACAGGGACTGCTTGGAGAAGACAGCTTCTGTCAAACCACATATTTAATCTGCATGACTCCTCCTTGCCATGTCCTAGCACAATTACTGGGCTAAGCTTGTTGCTGCTGTTGCTTGTCCTTGTTTTAGTCCCTCACTTTCTTTCCTGTTCCAGCCTCCCTTCTTCTCTGGGCTTGAGTTCTTCCTCTAGCACCACATTTGTCTGTGAGTCCCTGTTCTTGCCTCTTCCCACAGCAGTGCTCTTCCTTCTGCTTATGGGGCTTTGGTGACATGCTGTGCTTGGGCCAGTCCTGCCTTCTGCTCCTTCTGGGAGCCAGTGCTCTCCAGCCAAACCTGACAAACATTGCAGGCTTTGAACACAGCCCAGCTGAGGTGAAGCGAGCTACAAGTCACCAGCCTCACT